GTTGTTTGTACATAGCAGGGGTCATTCTGTAAATATTAGAAACTTGAGGACTTAAAGTTGTATAGCAGTTAGAGTCGGGTTGTACAACTGTTAATTAAATAGTGATGATTAGGCATTTATTATGTTTGTATAAATACTGAAGTCAAGAGTATCTTGACGTACATAATACAAAAATACAGTTCTACAGAATATTCTTCTTCTTCTATTTCCATGGAAGGTTTTCTTGAAACCCTAGGAAAGCTTTGAAAAAGAACAAAGAACAAAAGCAATCAAATTTAAGTAGGTTTAATTTTGGTGAATTCGGTTCTCATCACATTAATAGGAATGGAATAATGTTGGTAGTTTTTTTCAATATTATATCTACAATAGTATTAATAAATTGTTCTTGATTAAATTAATTCCTGGCAAATTTGAAAGAAAAACGAGACAGTACACCTTTGATTTCCAATTAAAAAAAAAGGTTCATTACAACATTTTAGGAAGGAAAAATTCTAAAAATGATAGACGTCTTAAATATGTAACTATTAATTAGAAACCCATATGAATCGACATCCCTAAGTTTCTCAGTCACTTAATTTGTCTCTTCGATTAGTTGAAGATATGAGCTGTTAAATGTTCCTCTTTATGATCTTGAAGTGAAATCCATCTGGGAAACTTATGCTAGGAGATCAAACGATTTTCCCACCCTTAAGTATCTTCCATCTGGGGAAAAAAAAGTATGAAAGAAAATGGCGAAAAAGAGTTCCAAAAATGCTGAAAATAGACAAAATTAAAAGTTCCCAAAAAACCAATTACCGGTGGTTTGTAACCAAAACATGTAAGAAAGTTGCAATCAATGCCCTGCTGTATTCTGCTCCTGCACATTGCTTCATTCCTGACCCAAATGGCATAAAGCATTTTGATACAACTTCTCATTTGATGTCCTCTATAGTTGTAGTAATAGCATTCATCAGTGGCGGCTCAACGTTTTTGGGGGACCTTAGGCGAGTTCTAAAATTGAAGCCTTTTAATAATAAAAAAACTAATTTTTTTTAACTCTCTTTCTATTTTCGGGCTTGGAACCGACAACTATAAATCTATGAGCTTATAGAAGACAGAGTTAAATTTTTTTTTCAAATATTATTCATATTAAATTTATCTTTCTATCATTTTTTAAAGTATCTCTTATATTAAATTTATTTTTTTTAACTTTTTTGGTTGCAAATTCTTTTATGAAAGGTTCATGATCTATCTCTTCAGTAAGTCTTTTTCTATCAATATAATAGCCAATCCATTTAATCTATCTTGTGACATTGTTGATCTTAAATAATTTTTTTATTAATTTTAGTTTTGAAAAACTTCTTTACCCTGAAGCAACTGTTACAGGAATAGTTAACATTAATATAAGCATTTGGAAAAGAATTAAGTCTTTTAATATAATTAAGTATATCAATTGGATTATTATTCTCAACATTTACATTCTCTCTTAAAATTTTTAGTTCATAAAATAAATCCAAACCGTCAATATCTAAACTATCATTATGTGCTAACGAGTTTTGAAGGTTAATGAAACTTTTTTCTAAATTTTTGTCATCAAGTGATTTTAATTTTTTCAAACTAAATAGAAAACCAAAAATATTTTCGTACATTTTAAAATTTTTGAATCTACTTTGTAGTGATGAAATAGCTCTATCAACTATATAAAGAAAATAATCAGTTTTGAAAATTTCTGAAGGGGTTTTAATAGTTTCATTCTCCACATTTTGATCAAATCGCCCATTTCTCTAAATTTTATGTTTTTCATCAAATTTAGGTTATACATCCATCTTAATAGCAATTTCATTGGCACAGGTTATAGCATTTTCGAATCCATCCTTTTTGTACTTTTCAAAAAAACTAATGAGACCTTTTAATTGCTCTATAGCATCATCAATACAAATATCTTTTGCTTGTAATTTTTTTACTAACCGAATTGACCGCATACAATACATCAAACAAAATAACCATCCCCAACAGAAATTAAAAATTCTTAAGTTCATATGTCGCTAAACATTTTGCCTCACTTTTAATTTGGGGTTCCTTACTAGATGCATCAGACAATGATAATAATGCATCATTTAATTCTAAAGTTTGAAACCTTATTTCCCTAACACTTTCAACACGATTTTCCCAACGAGTTTGTGATAATGACTTAAGAGTTAGTTTTGGTAAATAATCTTTTAGGATTTGCCACCTTTTGGTGGATGAAGAAAAAATTGTATATATACGTTATATCACTCCAAAAAATTCAGTGGCTTTATTACAAAAATTACCCATATCGCAAATTACCAAATTTAAATTGTGACTACTGCATGAAGTATAAAACGACCTGGAGATAATATCTAAAAATCCTTTTGCACTCATTGATTTTTTCCTTTCATATTAGACCCATTATCATAACTTTGTCCTCTTATATCATTTACGTCAAGTAAAATGTTATTAATTTCATCCACAATAGTATCAAAAAGTCCTTTACTAGTTGTGTCATTTACTTCCAACAATTCTATAAAGTTCTCTATAACTTTTATACAATTTGATGAAAGATTTAAACACCTTAATACTATTGACATTTGTTCTTGATGACTTGTATCAGGACTACAATCAAGTATGATTGAAAAATACTTAGCTTCCTTAACTTTTTTTACGATTTTTGTTTTGATTTCAAACCCCAACAAATTTATTAGCTCATTTTGCATGTTATGTCCTAGGTAATGATTGTGGATGTCATTATCTAAGATTCGACCAATATGTTCTTGCATTATTGGATCAAATTCTGCAATCATCTCAATTGAACTTAAAAAGTTTCCATTATTTTCTTGGTAAATTTTTTCATTCTTTCCACAAAAAGCTAAACCTCTTTAACCAAGAAATTTTACAACCACAATAATTCTTATTACATTTTTCCAATGTTCCTTCTCTTTATTTATTTGAACTTGAATATGTTTATCTATTGTTTTATATTTTTTTCAATCTCGTTTCCAATTCAATCCATGCACTCATATTTGCAAAATGTTCATTACTTGTTTCATGTTTCTTGAGCATAGAGCTCATATTTTTCCAGTCATTACCACCTTCATTTGCTAGCCTACTTACACATGGAATAGTATCAAACAATTTACAACAAAAGCAAAAGACCCTATCCAAATCTATAGAATAAAGTAGCCATCTTCTCTCATGTTTTTCTCCATTAGCTAACTTTTGAATATAATGAGTACTCTCTTTTCCCCATTTTCATAGATTTTCTTTTTACTGAGTTACACATACAGAAGGAAAATCCAGCTGAAGTGGATAGCCCTCTCTCTCTCCCTTTCTCTACTTTTTCCCTTTGAAAGTATCACCGCCGCCGGAAAACAGTCTTTGTCATCATACAACCACCTTTTGTCCTTTTCAATCCCCTTTAACCCCATTCTCTAGACAACATAGTAACTATCAACATCACAAATATTCCAAGTTATTTCCCTGAACATCTGATCACCTTGATGTACGCAATACTCCAAAATTTTAACTTTAGAACCTGCAACAAGGCACCTGAGGAAAGGTAATCATTACTCTACCACACCTTTCTGCTCTTCCACTGCACAATACTCTACCGTATTTACACCCTATCAACAGTCAAATTTTAAACTCTTTTCTACATGCACACTCTCCCTGCATGCAATCCCCCTTCATCCACCTGTTTTCTACATGAAAATTCACATTCTTAGCTCCCTTAGTTTAAATTCAGACTGGACACCATTAATAGCACCACTAATTTCATCTCATCCTCATTGTTGCTTACCCTTACACTCACAACCAAACTTCTCCTTCTTCATTTACTACACACGACAACCAGCTACATACGTTTATTGATCCACGACAAGTTGCTTCTTTGTTGATGATCTGTCCACTGATGGCTGGGATTCCTATCCTAGCGACCCCATGGACACAGGCGACTATATAGATCCTTATTACTCTTTCCATCGAAGTACTTTTGTCCATATGTATCCTGAAGACTCTGCTTATGGGGTGGCTAGATATCAGCACTATTTGATTGGTTTTCTCTTGGATGACCAATCTTTCAGCCTTAATTACATGCAACAATATGTGCCTCAATACTGGGTGCTATCAGCCAGAGTCATTCACAGGGATCGGAACTGTTATTACATAAAGTTCGAATGTGAAGAACACAGGGCCATTGTGCTTCACAATAGGCCTTATGCTTTGGATGAAGCTCTGTTTGTAGTGGGGTGGTGGACCATGAACTTAACTCCAAACTATGTCTGGCTGTAGAAAATTCTCATCTGGATCCTACTCTATGGGTTCCCGGTTGAACATTTCACCCAACATGCAGCAAGACGCATAGCTTCAGACATCGGCAAAGTCCAAGAAGTTCGTACGGGTTATCTTGATACCTGACACACTACTTTCCTCCGGGCCAGAGTGTGGATACACCCACCAGACCCTTTAAATACAAGTACTCATGCTGGCCTAATTGATGGCCGCATCATTTGGTTGAAATGCTGATATGAACGTATGTTTATCTATTGTCGTCACTGTGGTATCATCGGTCACGAAACCCCACAATGCTCAACAAGAGACAACTTTCGGCTGGAACTGCAACTGGAAGAAAGTTTTCAGGAGATGAGTAATGCCCGCAATCTTCCGCTAGTGTATGATGAATCTAGACCTCTTTTTCTTGATGATTTGTCAGGCTTCAAAGATCAGCCCGAGCGACGGAATACCACCATTCCCTCTCGCTATGTTCGAGATAATGTTCAAATTTTCAAGGAGCATCAACCGAGCTTCTTCACTGATGGATATTAATACACACAAACTAGTCTTACCACGGTCACCGCTCGACATCCAGCAGTCATCTTCCAAGAGGAATTGCAACGTCAAACAGAGGCACCAACGGCCATAGGGAACCAGATCCAAGAAGACAACGACAGTGATGACAACTGGTCACTTCCTGAGGGTTTCATTATTCCAGAAAATCAGATGACATGCCTCAAAATTGTGCACAAGCCGATGCTATGACCCAGTTTCCTCATCCAGGAGACAACCCGGATTCGGGCACAGGTCCTTCCATTCCGGTGCCGCCCACTATTTATACTCGTCATACAGTTGAAGACGGCGAAATAGTTGAGCAGCAGTACATCATGGTAGGGGCTTTTAAAGTCCCGCTCTTCGAATACAGGGCACACAATGCAAATGACACTCCACGGTCTATTCCCAGCCGCCAGATTTGCATCGATTTTTTGGTTGCCATCAATTCTGACGATTTGGAGGAGACAGATGTCCAAACAGATCCAAGCAGATGTCCAAGCAGATCCAGCAGGTACTGTTACATACGGTAGAAGTGGAATTTCTAGGGCTGTAATTGTTTTGGGCTCTGGAGAACTTAGCCCAGATAATGATGTTGTTTTATATTTCTTGGAGCCGGATTCGGAAGAAACCCAACAATGGTTAACCATTAACACTTGGGCCCGGCCCATCATTATCCCTCATCCACTCCCCCCTCAACGTAGCTCACCCAGAAAATATGTGTAGCCCAGTTCAAATTCTGTTAATACCAATATACCCGGCTGGCCCATCCACCCATGTTATTCATCATGTTTCAGAACCTCTCAGTCCAATATTAGAAGAAGAAGAGACCGAGCCAAGTACAGATCTTTCTTTGGCTGCGCTAACCCGCCAGCGACAGATTAGAGAAGGAAAGCGCAAATGACGTGAATCCTCTACAGGAGAAGACCCAGACACAGACCTCGATGACAACTCCTCATCTTCGGCGCGACAATTATCTCCGCCACCACAAGTCCTGGAGACAATGGGACCTCTGCCCCTTACATTGCTGGTTCCCATGGTCAATCATGAAGCCGCAATCAACTGGGCCGTACAAGAGGCAGGGATTACTACAGATTCTGGAAGAGTAGCAGCCAAGAGGAAGATATAACAGCTACTGAAAATTACTTCTCTACAGCGACGACGCACTGAGGAATCCAATTCAGATCAAAATCACAATAGCGTCACTGACATCTCCGTAGTCCAGGAAACCAACGACCCAGATTCGCCCACCAGAGCAGCCATGTTTCTCACTTTGCAATACAATGATATCATCACCCTCATTACAGAAGGAACGCAACAATTGCCAGACCTGAATACAACAAGTCCTCCAAATTCTCCTGTTCACCCAGACGACACTGACGATGAAATAAGGGTTTTACTGACGGTTGTCCCACAACAATCGGCGTCAGCGCCATGAGGCTACTATCATAAAATTAGATCTCATGCAACAGATAAATTGCTTCAAGCATTTGTGGTGGAGGAGGAGGCGAAGAGAGAAGCAGCAACGGCTGTGTTATGAAGGTTTTTGTTGGCGAAAAAAAATGGGAAAAGCGGCACCGGTGTCTGATTCAATGTTGTGTAGCTAGAGGGGAAGGAAGAAGAGCGACGGTGGAGAAGGAGCTTATCCGGAGGAAGACATGGTTATATATACATTCCCTCTTAAGAAAAAGGAAAAAAAACCCATCCCTGACGACGTCGTTTGCTCTGTTGGGGGGTTTTTAAGTTGGAAAGCGAAAGTTGAGGAGCACCAAATGGTGTCTTTTTTTTTTTATTTGGGGGATTTTTACTAAAAATCAGAAAATTTGTGTAACGTTTAAATTGGGGAGAAAATACTTGTGAATTCCCATTTTTAACCTTACTTAAGCTGCTGACGTCATATCAAGCCAATCCGACGGATGAAATCGATTTGAAGGTGGTCCTGAATATTTCTTGAGCATTTAATTTCTTGACTACTGTGCCTTTATATTAAGTGTATGTACAGTAGTAGTAGTAGTAGTATTAGTGCTCGAGCATTCGTCGTGCGATGCGTGACGCACCTAAATAATCTGGGATATTTAGAATTATGAGGGTAAGGTTTGCTATCAAAGTTTTTGCATGAATAAATAATTTGGTATCATTAATTTGTTTTGTGGTTAAACTGGTTTTCTTTATATTATTTTGGTGAATTTGAGTTTTTTTAAAAATAATTAGTAATGATTATATTAATTGACAATGTAAATATTGTTCTGCTGAAATATCAATATAATTTGCAATGATGTATGATATCTATATTATTATTTATAAAATACAAGCAATGATACTCCAAAACCAGGGTTACATTGATGATGATTTCTATATAGGTTTTTTATTCTTATTGTGTGACAAGAAAAACAAAAAGTGTAGAAACTAATTTTGTGTTATAAAAGTATGCCACTATGAGTCTGGATTTTTAGGCATTAATTTAGCAACTTTATAGTGCAAAATTTACTCTCGCACAAAAGTGTGTCAGTACAAGTCTGGATTTTTAGCCATTAATTAGGAACTTTATCGTACAAAATTTGTTCATATTTGAGAAGGTATGTTAAGCTAAATTTTAATTCAACTGTACATTTAGTAGCAACTCAAATAATTTTTGAAAAAAATGCAATAATTATATTTTGTACAAACCTACTCAAACTACAATACTTCTGTACAAACCTGTCAAAGAAGCCAAATCCTTCGATGACAGCAATCTCGTAGATGAAGCAAATTTCGTTAATTCAACCATCAAACAAGAAAATACGAACATAATTTGTCTATCCCGTGAAACTCAAAAGAGTACGAAAAATTCACAGTAACACGATCGTTTATCTAAGTGATTCTATCCCTTAACTGAAACCAAGCAAAGAACACATTATCTATGAAAGATTCGAATTAAACAACAACCCACACTAAGAATAGCAAGGACACCATTTAATATACTCGATCAGTCATCATTCAAGAGAGTCAAGAAAGGTAGGAGCAAACAATGCTCAACTATGAATGAATACTATTGATTAGTAATCTCCATAACCAACAAAGATATGCAACATATACACTATCTCAAAATGCTTATGCCAAAGCACAACTCATCTAATAGAAGTAGGACAAACCCCACAATGGAACTCATGAACACACACATCATGAATTCGAACACCAAGTCAAAAGAAAGGCTCATCAATCAAACTACTAGAAGTAGTATGAAAATAAGAAGTTTTGTTTTAAAACAATTCTATCAAGAAACATACTTGAAAAAGAACTGTTTCTGCAAGATCAAAAGATCCAAGACAAGATGAAAACCCTCTTGGTTAAATCATACTTGACACGAAAAATGGACACTCCATTTAACAAATTCCTCATCGGAAAAACTCTCAAAAGAGACAACAAAAATGACCACTCAAGGGTGCTTTGAAATTTTGGCCATCCCCCCTATTTATAGGCTAAGAAATTCGGCCAGCACCAAGAAAAGAAGATCAATTAGGACTCTCTAATCTTATCTGACAAGGAGTAGAAGTAGAAGAGTATTTGATCTCTTTGACTCTATCTAAAATCTAAGAAACCTTATCTAAATGACTTATCCTCAAGTAGGATAATATCTAGAAGGAATCTAAGACTCTTAATCCAAACACTCTAGCTTTATTCAGCCCACATGGCTTATCTAACTAGATAAAACTCGAAAATTGACTCCTAGACTTAGACTAACTCTAAAATCCGAAACAACTCCCAAATTATTGAAGTAAAATGTCTTCAACGCCCTTCCAAAAGTGGAATATTGGTCTTGAGCCCCTTAAGTTATAGAAAACTCCAAGTTACTCTAAAACTTGTAGAATTCTCTTTATTGACTCCAAAAGATTGGAAAAACACTTGAAACAATTAAGATAGTTTGCGACCTATCCAATTGTGTAGCAATGGACTCAATCTTGAACACTTTGATCAAATAGATCGTCCATTCAAGAACCTAAATGACTCTTCTCACTAGCTTGATCAATGATCTTCATGGAGCACATAGAGTCAAACTCTCTTGATACTCTTGAGCACTTATTTCCATGAGGTCATCATCTCCTTTGGTTTGAACTCCAAAGTTAATGACATTTTAATCATCTTGATCATATCTCTCTTGAACCAACTCCCTATCACATAGGTAGTCAAGATCCATCCTTTCTTCCTTGATTGGCCTGCAAAGTAAACTTAGCATTCCAAAACTAGAATGAAGGACTAGCTCATTCCCCTCACTAGGAGAATCACCACGGAAGGCTACATGATTCTCATCATCCGATCTATCTGCTTAACAGAACCAATAACTTTTATCGGAGCCAATAACTCAGATGTTAAAAATGAATACTCTAAGTTGCTGCGCTCTGTTGATCCTCCGCAAGCCACCAAGACGGCCACCAATCTAGTTTACGGGCCTTAACCTTGACATTTTCCTGACCTTGTATGGACAAAGAGTCTTGCTCTTTGAAAGCTGCATCCAAGCGTAGAAGACCAAGGCCACGGCTCCCCAATGCTGCAGTGATGGTACCCACTTTTTTCCCAGACGATTCAGCAATCACTTGTAATTTTGGAACAACTTTACCTTCTACCTCTGGTGTAGCAGAAGACAAATGCTTAAGTTAAATGGCAAAATTAAACAAAAGCTTTAGCGAAAGCAAAATTGAACTTACCCTTTCCATTGTCATCTAGAAACTCTAAAGGAAGCAACCGCTTTCGAATAACCCCAACATTATGTGTTCGAGCCACAAGTTCTTGTCCTAAGTAGCATCCTTTATCAAAGCTTATTGCATTCAAACCATCCAGGTTATATTCTAGGGGCATTGCCTCACTTGCAAGTGACTATACAATTAAACACACGAAAATGATATAACACTCTGGAGTTCTTATCCTACCTTTTCCCTTAATATCCTCCTATGACAACAGAAAGGGCTTCAAATAGGCCAAAAAGGCGAAACTTTCATCCAAGTCATTGGCATAAAGGTCAAAGTGCCAACCAAATAATAATAACGAATTAAATAAAAGGATGATTCACTTTTTGGAATCTCTGACAAGCCTTCTGCTACTCTCTTATCCAATCTCCATAGAACAAAATGTTTTTCCTCAGCTTCTTTGTCTGCCTCGACATGAGGGCTGTGATGGATAGAAATGCTTGATTAATGGGTAGATCCCAAGAATTCTATAAACAACTAATATGGATTTACACAAAATGCCAACTTCAGCCATCCATTGAGCTCAGAAATTGGAGCAAAATTTGTCCCTCAATCAGGATACATTTCAAAAATGAACAGAGCTTACCAGTCCAACTGAAAAGATGAAAACTGTTAATCAAAAGAAAAAGCATACAGGAACTTACGTGTCGCCTGGGAAGGAAAGATGCCCCTATATCCAAGGCAACCACATCGGGGATCCTGATACCCTTCCCATCCATCTTTACTTCCTTCTGAAGATGATGCACCTGCATGATCAATGCCACCACCCCAGCCTAGTGATTCCGCTTCTGGTTCCTCTGAAGATGAGGACTGATAGTTAGATACCCACCAATCAATAAAATAAACACATACTTAATATTCAATTAGCACTACAACAAATCATACAGAAGGAAAGATCCACATATGATTAGTTTTCATAAATAACCAGAAATCGTAGACAAAGATTTGGACACCACACGATCATTACCATATATGACCACATATAGAACTTTTGAATACCATATATGACCACATATAGAACTTTTGAAATCATTAATAACAGGGAACAAAATTATGTCAGCCACACACGAAAAAAAAAAGAAAGAAGGATTAGGGAGCTCATCCACTTTCATGCCATCTCCTCCACCGTAGCTTAACGGTTCTATCAGAAGCCAAGCATAAATCCAAGGGCATTACACAAAATGCCAACTTCAGCCATCCAATGAGCGCAGAAATTGGTGCAAAATTTGTCCCTCAATCAGGATACATTTCAAAAACGAACAGAGCTTACCAGTCCAACTGAAAAGATGAAAATTGTTAATCACAAGAAGAAGCATATAGGAACTTACATGTCGTCTGGGAAGGAAAGATGCCCCTATATCCAAGGCAACCACATTTGGTATCCTCATACCATTCCCATCCATCTTTACTTCCTTCTGAAGATAATGCACCTGCATGATCAATGCCGCCACCCCAGCCTAGTGATTCCACTTATAGTTCCTCTAAAGATGAGGGCTGATGGTTAGACACCCACCAATTAACAAAATAAACTCATAGTTAACATTCAATTAGCACTACAACAAATCATGCTGAAGCAAAGATCTACATATGATCAGTTTTCATAAATAACCAGAAATCGTAGACAAAGATTTGGACACCACACGATCATTACCATATACGACCACATATAGATTTGAATACCATATATGACCAGGTATAGAACTTTCGAAATCATTAATAACATGGAGCAAAATTCTATCAGCCACACACACACAAAAAAAAAAAGAAAGAAAATATTTAAACAGAAAAAAGTCACCTTGGATTAAGGAATTAATCCACTTTCCTGCCATTTCCTCCACCGTAGCTTAACGGTTCTATCACAAGCCAAGCATAAATCCAAGGACATCAAAGAATGGAAAGCTAATTATTTTAGTTCAGATTAGAAACTAATCGAAAATAAAGAATCATACATACAAAATTGTTTCAACCATATTCTGGACGGAACACAGATTGCAACTAAAACCGAATTTGAAAAATCAATAAAGCTGAAAAATTTGTAACGCTGAACAATGAACAATACCTCAATGAAGTTGAGCCGAGTTTATGAATTCAGTGGATAAGAACCGATGAACAAAGGAATCACAATTGTTTTGTTTCTTCTTGTTAAGGTATGTGGTTTCCGGTATCAATTAACTATGTATTTGTAGAGATTAAAGCCGACATTGTCGACTCATGATTAGAATAGTACCTGGAAATCCAATAGCAAAGATTTCCTCTTTATTTTTTTGGAACTTTCGGAAAGAAAATCATAATCTAAAAGGGAAGAAAAGGAAATTACTTACAAAAATCTCCAAATATGATGAACTAATCTCAGAACGGCAATGTCCAAGACAACGATATAGTTTGGGGATAAGGAAATAAAATTATTTGAAATAATTAGTAAAAAGGGGTTCGAAAAAAAAGGGAAATAGATGATTACCTAAACGATGGTGACCTCCAAGCACAGCGGCAACCTCCATGAGCGACAACGGCGGCAACCTCCAAGAGTGACGGCGGCGGCAAACCTACTCATCTCTCTTGCAGTGTCTCTTTTTTTTTCATTGCAAGCAAGAAGAGGAAATCGACAATCGCTGATGAAGCAATTGCAAGTTTTAAGTGGGATATGAATTAGGGATTCAACGACGACACAAGGAACTTTGTGTGCAGCTTGGAGGAGGAAGAGAGTATTAACAGCGCCAGAGGGAGGGTTAAGCAATGTCTTACGTGAGGCAGAGGAATCCCGTTTCTAGCTTGTTTTTCTTTTTACTTGGTCAGCAGTGGGGGGGTTTTTTTTTCTAATCAATTGCCAGCGACAAAGCAGAAGGAATAGGGGGAAACCAGCGGCTTTTATTCCCGGAGGAGAAGAAAAGAAAAAAGAAAAAGAATACTCCTTCAAAGCGACGTCGTTTTGAAAGAGGGATTTTTGCCCCAATGGCGTCGTTTTGATGGGGGGTTTTGGAAAAACTTTATTTCAATCCAATGTCTAATTATTAAATGACACTTTCTCCCTTAATTAAAATTCTATTTTTTAATTGTGTACGATTTATTGAATGAGTATTTCGCCCCCAATTAAAAATATGATATAACTGTGATGCATGGATGATGCCATGTGACGACCGCCCGACCAATGATATTACAAAAATTAATTGCCAAGCGTGACTTTTATATTATAAGGAAGGAAAAAAAATTGGAAGACAGTCAAACCGGAGCACATATATGGTCCAAAATCAACCTAAAACTTATACTAGTAGCAGTATTAACTAGACGAGGACCATCAAATTGTAGGCTAGTGATGAAAATGAAATACTTGTTGTGGTCTTATCATTGACGCTAGTATAACTTTAACGTTTATATCTATTTTTTTAATTTATTTTTTCCATTTAATAATCGTTTATTCCCTAATAAGAATGGTGATTCTTCGTATAGCTATAGTTTTCTTAATTTCTAAGAAATAACAATGGAAACTATAAAAGAGAAACAAAAATATAATATTTTTTCGGTCTCAAAATAAGAATTGTTATGGAAAAATCTGATTTGATTGAATGTCCATATTAGTATATATTATTCTATTCACAATCAAGGAGATGCGATTCTATAATATTTAATATTAATGTTAGATAATTCATTTCCCATAGTTTGATCTCCTACTTCTTATATAAATAGGGAGCTCATTCATGCTTCAAAAGATATTTGAATACAAGTCTCTTATCTCTTTCTATTCTCTTGTCTCTCCTCTCTTGTTCTTATGCTTAGTTGCATGTGCTAGCTTAGTATTAATTTTATAACACGTTTTCAGCACGAGACTCTAGCAAAAGAGCTTCTACTACCGCCTGAAGTTGGTGCGTATTGATTTTGAAGACCTGAAGCCTTAATGAATATTTTAATTCTACCACCCCGAAGTTGGTGCATATTGATTCTGAAGGCATGAAGCCTCAATGAATATTTTAAAAGATTTTCGTAATCTAAAGCACCGTGGTAACAAAAACTTTTCGGTGCACAAGTCTCTAGATGGTTCATCATGGAGTTCAATTTAATGAATCAAAATAATGATGATGGGAGAAAAAGGTAAATCATAAAACATGTATATTTTTTGTTAAGATATATATATATATATATATATATATATATATGACTGTTGATAATGTGAATGTATAAAACTTATATAAGTTGTATGTAATTGTGATAGCAATTATGTGTGAAAAAAAAAGTTTTCTTTAAAGAATTAATTTCTTTGATATTTAGATTGCAAGGAAAGTACTTTGTTTTATTATCACGCGTTTATTGATATTAGTTAATCCCTTCTCATATTTTCTTTGTACTTTTATATTTTACTTTGCTCATAGTAATGATCATGTTTAGTAATGAAAGTAACTATATTGCCAGTAGCAATATGTAAATGCATCAAAGTTGCTCCTGAAGTACCAATGTTATGATAACACATTTAACATATTAAAATGTTGTAGTAGCATTATAGCGAAATATTTGATTAAATCTTATCAATTGATTTCGTTCTATTCTCCAAAGTGAGTGGGCAGTAAATTATTTCTAAGTAAATTGTAGACATTAAATCTACAATAATTATGTATATATACAATTCTTCACCTGAAGATGGAGAATTAATTTGAAGACATGTTCAATTTAGACACGGTCCATTTCCTGAAGTAAATGTGACGATCATACAATAATGATAGTGGTGATTCTAACAAATACACTACTAACCACCTGATGAAGTTAGAAAAATAGTGAAAACACTACTATTGATCTGAAGTTAAAAAGTATTATATTGCAAATGCTATCGTTGTGGTATAGAAAACCATTGGGTTCACATGTTCTGTATACCCACAATTATCTTATCAATCTTTGATATATTTATCATGAAGTTCCCTGAAGATGATTTAAAATTTAGAGATGAAAATGTGCAATATGTCAAATACCCTGAAGGTGTTGTGGTCTTTTAGCCACCATAGTAATGATATTATTTAATTGACATTTCTATCTACATGTTTCGAAAAAAATAAGATCGAAATTTGTTAGTGACAAAAGTATGCCTTGCACGTAGTGCAACTCATATTACCTCTCTAGGCATTGTGAATTTTAGTAATCGCCCTAAAGGAGATGCTAGTCAATGATAAACACAGAATCAATTAAAAGCTCCAGTAGAGCATATGCCATTGAATTATTCTACAAATATAGATTAAAATTTCTGTAGAGTATAATTACTCCGGAGAGTGAAAACAAATAAATGCTCCCGAAGAGCAAATATAATGAATTCATTATGTCTCTGGAAGAGCAATAGTAAACAAACTTTGCTCCGAAAAGAGCAAAAGAATGTTAGAAGGAAAAAGTGCATTGAGATATATTATATTCTCCAACGTATCAAAGAAGGATATAAATTGCTCTACCAACACAACTATTTTGGATTTGAAAATTCATTGTTGTCTCCAGCAGAGCAACGATACAATTTGTTTTTAAAAGAGCAAAAACACTTTGGTAGAATGAAATGAAAACAACTAAATAACAAATACTCCATCAGAGTAAACGCTCATGTGGGGCAAAATTATTCTGGTATATTTGAATAATTAATTCACTATTTTCTCCATAAGAGAAATTCTAAAATTTGGCATAACTACTTAAGCCATTCAAGATGAAATAATAAAGTTTATATGCTTTAAATTTGGAGAACCAAGAGTTTCTTCTAACAAATTAGGGTATCAATCGATGTGTCAATGTGAGAGCTACATAGATGGTTCTCGTTAACTTGCAACCTGAAGTTTGCAGAAATTTCATTATGGAGTTAAATTGATAACTTGCAGATTTTTATGTTCTGCTCTTACGAGAATTTTGATTTGACAATTGTGGTGAGTATATAACTCAATACCAAAATGATAGAAGTTGAATATTGAGTGCCTATAAGAGAAGCAATGAAGCGGTCCAGTAGAATTGTTAATTGCATGTGTTCAATTAAATTAACTAACTCATGTATGATTGAGAAAGTGTTGAAACATAAAAGGCACCAATTATGTGCATAAGACCAAACATGTCATTATAGATATTCTCCCCAACATTAGTTTTTGGTCAGAAACCATACATATCCATCTTTAAATATTAGATGTGTAGTTTATATATTATAATTATTCTGCCACAATGCTCACAATGATGGAACCTTCTGAAGAGGTCAGAAATATATGCTGAATATTGAATCTCCAATGTTTGAGATTATTGATGTTCGATTAAGTACTCGATAGACTGATCGTTTTAGTTTGACGAGTTTGTTACTCTCAAAAGAGAGATTATTAAGTGCTCGGTTGGTTAATTGTTGTTTTAACGAGTTAGTTATCCCAACATAAAGGGTAGAAGTTGAAAGAGCCATTTTATAAATCAGATGGACAATATAATTATCTCATGATGATCCTTGATAACATGAACATAAAGTTCAAGAGATAATTTTTAAAACCAGATATTTAACTGACCAAAACATGTAACTGAGTTACATGCAAAAGGCTGTCAAGTTCCAAATCTTGAATAATTTTTTTTCTTAGGACCATCTATTGAATGTCCATTTGATGAGTGGTAGATTCCAAATGATAAAAATCCTCGTAAATGACAAGGTTTAAATTTATAGAGATGATAAATACGAGTTATTATAATTCATAAGAATTTTGAGCTGGAATAGGTTCCCACTGCGTTGAATTAATTTCCAGAAGAAGTGCAAGAATACTTAGGAAACTTAGTGATTGTGAGATCTCATTACCAAAGAACATAGAATCGATCATCAATAAAATGTCGACATGAAAATTGCTTATGCTGCAGCAGTAAAGTAAATGAATATGAGGATCATGAAATGAAAATCTGTTGTAAATGCAGACATTAAACTTATTGGCCAAAACAAATGAAAAGCCGCAATACACACTTGACGATGTGTACTTAGAATTGAAATTGCTTGCGAACTAGAAGTTTGGCAAGTGATGTATCGGCTAGATTTTGGCGAGTGATTGGACAAAATATTGTCGAGCAACCTCTTTGTTGCACAAGTTTTTCTCAAAGTCCGATTTATCTTGTTGTGGATGAAAAGGAAAATCTTCCGTTATTTGCTAATCTGGTAGCAAACGAAGATAAAAAAAACGTTTCTTGAATATAGTGATCACTTAATATGTGATACTTGATAGTGACGTCTATATGAAATCCCTGAAGGATTAAAAAAAGGGACATGATTCCCAATTCTCAAGAAATTATTTTAAAAGACTTGCGCAAGTTATAGTGTCTTCATGTGTCTAGATATTTAGGTTCATATTTTTTAATATAATAAATATGTTATATTTGTTTTTATCTAGATATGTTATGTTATTTGTAACATTATTTTCTATCTGTTTTTATGATAATATTTGAATGATAGGATGATAACTAATACTAGAGTGAGTATTCATAAGCCATATATTCATTTACAATTTTGTTAGCACCGAACTCTTGTAGAGTTTCAAAAGACTAAATATTATCGAAACTTATCATGAAGTTCGAATAGTCTGAATATAAATA